TGGTCCTACATGTTCAACACTCTGAATCAACTTTCCCTTTAACGGGGTAGTCTTGGGTGTTGCTTTTGGGTATATTCTAAATCTAAGATCCGGAGGTTGAACTCTTGTCTGTAGAATGTGGAGGTCACTCAGTGATGTGATCTCTCCACCTTTTAAGCTAGAGTTTATACAATTTGTCTGTAGTAAGTATGGCTGCCAAAAAGGCTTGTTGTTTGCGAACAGTTCTTGTTCGATTCATTAAGAAGCTCATGTTCGATTAGTTCGCTAAGTTAAAAAGTCGAACAATTTTTTTTTGGTGCTCGACATATAAACGAGCTGAACACAATCAAAGATTTTTTTGTTCGTGTTCGGCTCATTTTGGTTTGAAGTAATTAAATTATGTGTGTGTGTGTGTGTGTGTGTGTGTGTGTGTGTGTGTGTGTGTGTGTGTGTGTGTGTGTGTGTGTGTGTGTGTGTGTGTGTGTGTGTGTGTGTGTGTGTGTGTGTGTGTGCGTGTGTGTGTGTGTGTGTATATATATATATATAATTGATGAGTAGTATTTTTTTAAAATTTAATTGACTACAAGGCTACAAAGAATTATAATTAATTAAATTATTAATTAAAAAATAGAATAAAAACATAATAAATTATATTTGAATGATGTTTTAATATAAATAATAATACTTAAATCTTGTCCCAATCTTTAACATCTTATGATTGCGTTACTAAGGCTGTCAAAATGACTCTTTTTCCGTGAACAGCTCGTGCTCGACTTGCTAAGCGAACTAGCCAAACATGAACACATTATTTGTAAACATATTAAATTATATTTGAATGATGTTTTAATATAAATAATAAGACTTAAATCTCGTCCCAACCTTTAACATCCTATTGTTGTGTGACCAGGGTTATCAAAATGACTCTTTGTTCGTGAACAGCTCGTGCTCGGCTCGCTAAGCAAAAGAGCCGGCCAAACATGAACTGTTGTATTTTTTAACGAGTTGAACACGAGCTGAGACTAGACTCGTTTACACTCCTGATAGTAAGCTAGTACGAACCAACATTGTCTCCCACTTCATCATCAGATTATCTCGTTCTCCCCTTTGACACTCCCGATAACAGTAGAGGATAATCTTCCATTGGATTTCATCATCAGTTTCTGTAAGCCTCCGTTGAAACTGATGGATCCCTTGTTGTATCTCCTCTCAAGTAGGCTCGATCATATATCTCCTTAGTGGCATAAGTGAGGGTTAGGGTTGGGAGGTGAGAGGTTAAAACTAATTGGTTTAAGATTACTGATTTTCAAAATCAGCAAGGGGAAATAAGGGTTAGGCATATGTGATAGTGGAGGGGTATTTGTCGATAGGAAGGAAAATTTGTGGGTTATAGTTAGGAAATCCTAGGATATTACTAGCGTAAGGCTAACTCTGATACCAAATGATACTGAGGTTAATCCAAACCACAATAGAAACAGAAATATTAGTATGAAAATTAAATAGGTTACAGCCAAGTCTCTTCAAAATAGGAAATAAATGAAAAGTAAACAATAAACGACACCTTAGGGTGAGACGAAAGGGATCGATGGTGATTGGACAGCAAGAGGGGTGTGGGCTGTGGTTGTGGTAACCAAGGCGAGGTAGGATGAGGCGTTGCGGCCGATTGGAAGTAGGGGTGCGGGGACCTGATTGTGGATGGTCACGGGAGGGAGGAGAAAGGGAATGAGAGGTGTTGCTAAATAAGGGGAAGGGTAGGAGATAGGGGCGATTATGAGGTGGAAGAGACGGGAATGTTGAATGGTCGGTTGGGAGCCGGTGTTGTGGAATACGAGACTAGACAGTGAAAGCTTGTAGGAGCGTTGGAAGGAGAAATAGCGACAACTCAGGTGTTTAGTAGTAGCTGGATATATAGGGGGCAAGCCGGGTAACAGGATGGGGTGAGGAAAACCTGTTAGCCATGGCGGAAAGGGGTACTAGAGGTGTGACTGGGAACGGGAAAGGGTGGGAATCAACAACTGGAGGGTTGTTGGAGAGGTAACAGCAAGGATGGAAAGGGAAAATCCGCACCACCTCAAATGAGTTATAGTCAGAGTACCTTCTCATCGTCGGATACAATCCTCGAAGGTAACAAGAAGATGTTGACGACTGTCCCAACAGAAATCACAACTCAAACTCAGAAAAACCAAACCCTAACACTACAAACACCATATAAATAAAGATGGATAGTTGGGAAATCAAAATAAGAAGAGGGGAAATGATTCCCGCCTAATGAAAGAGAGAGGAGGGACTGTCTCAACACCTCCAGCTTGTAGGTTCCTACTGAACCGGGTTGAATCGGTTCAACCACCTAGGCCCCGCTTCAGTCTATGCTTAAAAGTGATAATTTGGGTGGTTTCATGTCAAGATTCAACCCAAAAGTAAGTAAACCTAAACATAGTTAAATTGAAGTGAATCCGTCAGGGAGTTGGATTAGGAATCTCAACATGGAGCTAACCTAGTAGAAATCGAAACTAATCCTACACGAGCACATGCTATGTGAGGTAATTGTGCATTGACACGATAGATATAATGATCTCATTTGTAAAATTCTGACTCAAGAAAAACTTAAAATTACTATTTACTATGATTTTTAAATTTAGGAAGATAATTTATTTGCTCGATTAGTCAAGTTTTCATTTTAAGTTGTTTTGACGAATAAATTTGTGTTTTAATTTCTTAAAGTAACTTGGTTCTGACACGGTATGACTCACTGGGTTAGTGTTGGCTTACTTAAGATCCTATATTCAAATGTCCCACCTCCCATTTTATTTCACATGAATTAAAAAAATTATAAATTAGATAAGAAAATATAAACTTACCTAATGGCTTTTGTGATATCCTATATACCTGGGTGTCGGGGATTGTAGATCAAAAGAGATTAATAATATATAATGACAAAATTAATTATAAATTTAAACCTGTAAATACATAACAACAATTTGACATTTCAACAACAATTTATCTAAGTATGGGTTTAAATTTGATAATTTTGTATGCATTAGTAATCCCCCCCTCCAGCTAAATTGTTTTAATTACAACATCTTAAGTATCTAATCCATGTTTCTAACCACTCAAAATGAATTAAATTATTGGGATTTGATAATTGTATCCCTATAGTTAAGAACTATCATGATCTATAAAAAATGGAACGTAATCAATCTAAAGGAATGAGAGCAATGCTCAAGATCCTTCATCTCTACAAACTTAATAGACAATCTCACACTTAAAAAATGTAGAAATTAATTATTAAAATGGCCACAAGTACACCTCTTCATCATCGCCAAAAGATAGGGGAACTATTTGCTTACCGATTCTAATAAACCTTCTTCGAAGTTTTTCCTATCTTAAATCTACACAATCACATCTAAATAATCAATGAGGCGTATGTGCATGTTCCTAATAAATGCGTACTAAATGGGATACGATATGTAGTGAGTGATTAAGATTAAGCTCACTAGCAATCAAACTTGTATCCAAATAAATCGATCAAATATGCGTAACCCATTCTTTATATAAGAGCACTTCTGACATAAATCACCAAACATGCATTCAGTCAATCAATGGGTAAATGAACAACTGAAATATAAGCTAAACAAAAGAGCAAAGCGTGCACAAATATTTTGACATGGATCAACATCTAACGGCTTTTGATTGGCTTATATCAATTGTTAATCTCTTACTCAATTAAAATTCTAGTAACGACTGAATATCACAAGCTCCTCCTGATCAGTAGCTTTAAAAAGCATCAAACCCATCTTCATTCGAGGACAAAAATAATTGCTTCATGTTTCAATAAAAAGACGTCAACATATGCTTTAAAAAATAAAGCTCGTTTACATCTAAAGAATAAGTTCGAGAGACTAAGTCCGGTCTATCAACAACCAAAAAAAAACTTAAGAAGATTGCAGTGATGATGGCAGCCATTGGCGCCAGCAGCGACAACAGCGCCATCATTCTTGTGCAAACCACAAAGGAAAAGTGCTAGAAAAATGTTTTGAGGTATTTTATAATTAATTGTTGCTGATAGAATGTAATTGTTGTATAAGGAATCCATTATGGCCAGAACTTATTAACACCGAATTAAAAAAACATGAAATTTCATAATAAAAAATATGCTACTCATAGAATAGCAAAGAAGTATGCATCCTCAAGTTAATATATGCCGGAGATGAAAGCCTTCAGACAAATACCTTAAAAAAAATAAGTGAAATTTGTAGTTAAATCCTTTGTTCCTGTCGGAAAAATTGCAAATTTACCCTAATGATTCCTCTCTAATATTCAAACATTGAATTTTTTCACCAGAGAAAAATAAATCAGCAAGTTGAAAATCACAAATAAAACCCTAGAAACTCTGAGCTGGGAATATATCATCATTCAGAAATGTTCATTCGCACAATGTGCCGAAACCATCACATAAGAGAAATTCAGCGAGTACCAGCCAGTTAAACTCAATTCAAATAACCAGAACTCGACCAGACTGATTAAAAAATATCATGTTCCTTAATATAAAAAATTACAATAATAAATAGTATTTGAAACAATTGGAAGCCAAAGTAAAGCAGAGTTCAAATATTTTTGGGCTGTTTGAGATCACCTTTATTTTTGTTTTTCTATTTTGTATTTTTATTTTATTTTGTTTTAAAAAAACATGTTCTACATGTTTAATTAGGATATCAATGTTTTTAAAAACACTGAAAATCACCTAAATATTATTTTAAGTATTTTATTTAAAAAAAAATTGAAGCATATAAAAAATGTATTAAACAATCATGTACTAAAAAAAAAATCCCAAACAGGCCCTTAGAACAACTGGAGAACCCTTCCTTTAGTAGCAGTAAGCACTCAGTTTACCAAACAGATATCAGTGATTTCCATAAACAATAGTAGTGGTGCACCAAAAATGTCCAAAAATAGCATAAAATATATTTCAACTAATAGTTGCATGGATGCTATACAAAATATTTTGCTCTTTTAAAGCTCGAATCAAGCAATTGAAATCATATTTCTAATAACTGGTTCGAATATAGCAAGATCAAATCAAAAATGTTTTTAAGGTAATAAAACATAAGCACATTTGAGTCGTTTGTAAAAGCGAAGCAGCAAGGGTGTCTATAGCAGACTATTTATCTTTTTAGTGAAATTTTCTGACAAGCGAAGCAGCAAGGGTGTCTCTATTCAGAAGAAATAGCAAAGATGCATGCTAATGCAGAAAGTTCAGGACTTCGATTTTCCAGCTTGCAGTACTTGAATCTTCTGTTGCACTTTCAAAACCTGAATAAAAAATAGAGAAATTATTGACAAATAGATCAATCACTGCATATCGTCTCATAATACTAATCAAACTCAAATCTAGAAACACATACATACAAGCCAAGCATCAAATAAGGAGCCAAAGAGAAGAGAAATGGAGATTCAGCATGGGATGTTGTAACCATTGGGATAAAATGGATTGGAAATTAAGAGGGAATTAACAAATATATCCTCCATTAGCTTTTACAAAAAGGGCAAAAGCAACATGCCATCAAAAACTAAGATTAGCTCATGCTCTACCTATTACCTTATGAACCAATTACATCGTTATAGCTCTATCTAGAAATTAAATTATCTTAACCATATTTTGTTTTAGCTGCAAGAGGTAAAAACCATATTAAGGTTGGCTCCAACGCTACTCGTTAGCCAGATGAGCCCAACCCACAAGGTATTCTTCAAACCAAGCACAAAAAGGGTTTTTCAATTATATCCCCATCGCTCCACCTAGAAATTGAATTCCCTTGACAACATCTTCCTAGAAAAATTGGCAAACATAAAATTAAGCTCAAGCCTTGCTTCTAGAGAACCATTAAAATTTCTCATCCAATCTCTTTTCTCTGAAAGTCGAGCAAAATCCGCAAAGAACTGTAATTTAATCACCACTAATAGATTTTCATTTGTGTCAAATTTGCACAAAATCACGACTGCTAGAAAGTCAAAATATGCAAAAGAAATAAGGGCAAAAAAGAAATTAACTCAACTAAGAAATCCAAACCTTATACTGATATAAGAAGATGACTTCCAACAAAATAAGATAGTTACACTTATAAAACGCTCAAAAAAATCACATACTCAACTTATACACACGGGTTTAAAACTAGAAAAAAAAACTCATTCAAGCAAAGTTAATAAAGTATATGCATCAGAATATCTATTTATAATACCATCATCCCAAAGTTAGAACATATGTTGACACAAGATGAACCAAATTGGATTCCAAAAGATCATTGATTTCCCATTTAAACCTTATCCCTTTATTAGGAATATATAAGTAACATAAATTAATCTCACATGAACCGAAGCCACATTTCATGAGAACATTGTGAAACAAACATTCCCAAAAAAAAAGTGATAAACAATCGTGCCCATGTGAAATAGAAGCAAAATCTCCCACCTATCTCCCATTCCACGTGATAACAAAATCCTTTGACAGCATAAATAATCATAGCAATAGATATCTGGAACACCAAATCCGTAAAAGGTGCTAAAGTCCAAGCAGCATCCACAAGTAGCATTTGAATTGAACTTGAAAGTAGGACTTAACGGTATCTAAAAACCAAACCAACCATATCACAAACCAAGTCATATATCCCAACCTAATATTAGTAAAAAGCAAACAGAACCATTCTCAAACCAATCATTAAAGTTATGTCCCACCCAAGGTAATGAAATAACAAAATAGAATAAAATAAAAATAAATAAACTGTACTCAGATCACTGCTTTATTTGAAGCTTCCGATTAGAATCAACACACATTTCCACATATGCCCCTCTCCAACAAATTCGACTCTGAATTTAGCATTTAATAATCATCATGCAAATCTAGACAAAATTTGTGTTTATTGCAAGTAATTAAGAGTCATCACAGGCAAGATATCCCCACCAATGAACAAGATGCCCCTAGAAGCCACCATAACCAGTGGACATAATCTCATCATCTAGAATAGCCCCACTAACAAGCTGTATAGAATTACTTGGTAGAGAGTCAGATATGGATTCACAATGAAAGGACAAAATAATCAAATAAAACAATTAATAGTAGGTTCAAGAAATAAACTCACATCAAACTGATAGAAAGTTGGATTACTATGAAACTGTCTTAATATTTTAAATCTCCATGCTACCTCCAATGCAATGCAAAATTTAAAATGACTAGCTCATGGAGATCATTCTACATTAAATGCCTCAAGTTTAAACTCAGCAAACGCTCTATTAACATCAACAAAAAAAAATTGTAATTGTCATATCTAAAAGCCACTTTTCTACAAATATCCTATTGCAAGTTATGCATATGTATCAGACCAAGAATCAATAGGAAGGTTGACAAGATATATACATTTTATAGGTTGAAACCTTGAGCTAATTTACAATAAACTCTCGTCAATAGACATATTGACAGAACAAATATATGCAAACTCAACCATAAATAATATTAATCTCATTGTAATACATGATCTTTGATGACAAAGAAGATCTCACCAGCTTCTACTTATTATTTCAGTTTGTTCATCAGTTTGTGGGTGATTGTCAGTTAAAATTTGATGTTATGTTTCCATTTTTTCCGCCAAAAAAATAACTCTCAACTTCCCAGTTAGAAATAGTTATTTAAGGTTACCCACGTAATTTGAAAACTTAATTGAAATACAATTCAGCAATATATGCTGCCTCAACAATTTAATGGTATTCTATGAATTATGAAATAAGCTGAAATAGTTATTTAAGATTAATCACATAATTTGAACACTTAATTGAAATACAATTCAGCAATATATGCTGCCTCAACAATTTCATGGTATTCTATGAATTATGCAATAAGGTCCTTCAAAAATTTTACTACTACAAGAGTAAAATCATCCCTAAAGGTAGCTGCGCATGATAAACCCAAACATAAAATCCATACTTATTGCTTCTTACAGTTTACATGGAATTGGCAAAAGGAGTACGCGAGCATGTATTATGTTTCCTAGCTTTAGTAAACTAGCAAGTCATATATTATGACACAATACATGCCGCATCTATTTTTTTAGAATTGACTAGAAAAAGCAATCAGTTATTGAGATGTCATATTCCTAACAAATGTCCGAAAGCATCCCCAACATTTAATTTTAGAATTGAAAAAGTCTCTTCAAGTTGAATCAGGAATACAAAGGACTCCTAAATAAATAATCATCTTTATGCATGTAATCTTGACTACACATAAATAAGTAATTTTTTATGTCTTGATAAATCTTCCCGAAATCTTATAAGTGGCATAGATCATTTTATATAATCAAAATTAATCATGCTAACCTATAATGTCTGTAGAAATATAAAAGTTGTACTTAAAACATCAATAGATTCATTCTCACTTCCAGCACAATATTTAAGAGCATGAATAATCCTATAAAAATTCAATCAATTTAGCATGAATGTATCCCAACTTTTTCTGGGAACTAAATACATCGATTAGAAGATAATGTCTTGAATTATAATGAGCTTGCAATAAATCGTAAAGCCCATTATCACTGTTTGAATATTTACGCCTAGAAACATTTATTTCTTAACGTAATGAGATAATCTTTCTAACTTAATACTCCTCCAATACTGGATACCAGACACAACTAAGAAGTCCTCAAAACCTTATGAAACTCGACTGAAACACACGTGCTTTGAATTTTCTCTTTGATATCATCAAAAGCATGATTAACTGTCTTTATCCATTCAAATTCCCTTCTTTAGACAATTAGTAATTAAAACTATATGATAAAACTAATCACTTTCATGGAGTATCAATAAAACTTTGAATATCGATTTTTGTCCAACCACTAAATGTGTTTGCCCTTATCAGAATAAAAAAATAATACATATACAAAAAATCCTAATCAAATCATATATGGACTCACAACATAATATTTTTTTTTTCAAATTCCAATACAGCTTCTTTGCATCTAAAATCACAAATACTCTCTTAATAAAATCAAAAAATTATCTTGTCTGGCTATAAATTAAAGTATCGTCAAAATAAACCAATATAAATATAGCATATGGTAGCAGTACATGGCTCATTATCCTCATAGAAGTACCATGTGCATTTATTATTCAAAAATGCATCACAAACCATTCATATATGCCAATTAGAATTTTAAAATTTTATTTTATTAAGCATCCCCCCTTTGATTTAACCTAATGATAGTAATCCTCAAATCAATATTAGATAACATCGTAGCGCCTACTTCTCATTCTTTCTAGTAAATCATCCAAATGAATATAGAAAATCTATATTTAATAGTGATTATATAGAGGGCTCAATTGCCTACACATATATGCCAACTTTTACCTCTCTTAAGTGAAATCAAAACATGTGCAAGGGCATTTACTATCTGTCGGCCATTTTTTTTTAAACTTCGTGGTTTAAAAAAAATAGTGATTTTGTGATTTTGAAAATAATTTAAATATGAATAACACCCTTTTTATTTTAAAATGTAACATTTTAATTTTAAAATATGTAAGACCAAACGAATCTCACATTTTAAACAACTTAAATAATTGAATACAATACTACAAGTAATACACTTATCCCGAAAGATAAATATATCACTTGTAATAGGGATTGAATCATCTAGATTAAAAAATTTGTGACATCCGTTTTAGTCTGCGAAATATTTCTATAAAAAGGCCAACAAGTTCCCCTATCCAACATAAGAAAAATTAGATAGGATTTATTTTATATGGGTTCCTGATTTCCTATAGAGGCAAACCCCTATAGTTAATTACATCTTAAATGATCGAAATTATTTAAGAAAACTCTCGATTAAGATCAGGTGGTTTTGTTTTCAAGTTTTCAAAGTTTAGGTTTTCACGATTGGACATGGGAAAATCAAATAGGAATTACTCAAAATAGGAACAATTATTTAAGGAATCCAAAGGGAAGAAAAGTAGAGGATATCACAGATCCAGGAGAAACCCTGGAGATGTCCCAACTATCCTATTGTTTGAATTTATCTTTTGAAATGATTTAATTTGATATTTCAATCCTGTAAATTATTTATGAATTAGGACTTATGTTTACACACTTATGTTTACACAATATCGGACACAATATCGGATTGTGCAAATAACCTAAAAAGATGGGAGGATTTACACCTTATCGCACGGTAACCTCGGAATCTTAAAGTGTTAGGACTTATAATTGTACAACGAAGTTGTACAAAAAGCCTAAAGAGTGATCCTATATGTTGTTATTTAAACTAAAAAAAGGTGAT